GCTTACTACTAGCCTGTGACCCTGGGCAAGTCACTTAGCCCTATTTGCCTCAGTTTCTTCATCAGAGAAGGAAACGGCAAACTGCTCAAGTATCTTTGCCAAGAAGACATTAAATTGGGTCGTGAAGAGTAGGACACAATTGAAATGACTGAACAACAACAAAAACAAAAGATGCATAATAAGTGCTGGTTGATCCAAGTCCCAGGACGTCCCCAATGGATAGGTGCCTTGTGTTACAGATGAGAAAACGGAGTCTCAGGGATTTTAAGTCATTTGAACCTATGTCTTGACGACATGCCCAACAGGCTATAATCACCATACCATGTTCCTTCTCTGTCTAGTTGTTTGAAATTGTGTCCATAGGAGGACAGCCAGGATGGTGAAGAACCCTGCTTCAAGTCAAGGGAGGATCAAGTGGAGATTTTTAGCCTGGGGAAGGGGAGACTTGGGAGCACAGGAGAGTTCTCTTAAATTTTCTGAAGGGCTGTGATGTGAAAGGGAGGTTAGATTTGTCTTGCTTGGTCCTAGAGGGTAGAGCCAGGAACAATGGGTAGAATTTACAAGGAGGAAGATTTAGGCTTAGTGTCAGAGGGGAAACCAAACAAACACAAAACCAACCCACCTTCCTACCAAGTAGCTGGCCTCAAAATGGAATGAGCTAACTTGAGAAGTTTTCAGTTTTCCCTTCTTGGAGGTCTCCAAGCAGAGGCTTGACAACCACCTTTGCAGATATGTCATAGTGAGGATTCCTCTTGTATACGGATGAATTGAACTAGATGACCACTCAGGACCTTTCCAACTCTCAAATTCTTTGATGCTGTAATTTCCACCTAATCCATCCACCTCTCTATGGCCATATCTTTGAATAACTGCAAAGTTTTGGAATACAAGTGTTTGGTCCTTCTTACAAAAAATGGTATTGACCAATGGTCAATAATCAATCAACAATCATTGTTGTTTAGTCATGTCTGACTCCTCCTGACCCCTTTGGGGATTATCTTGGCAAAGATACTAGAGTGGTTTGCTATTTCCTTTTCCAGCTCATTTTGCAGATGAGGAAACTGAGGCAAATAAGGACAAGTGATTTGCTCTGGGTCACACAGCTAGTAAGTGCCTGAGGCCATTTTGAGCTCAGGAAGATGAATCTTTCTGACTCCAGGCCAGGAGCTCTATTTCCGTGCTACCTAGCCAGAACAGTGGTATCAAACAAATAGAAATTAATCCCTGCTGACCACAAGTTGACTTAGAAAACACAACTTAACATTATCTAGGTTGTATTATATTCTTATTGATTTTGTTAAACATTTCCCAATTACATTTTAATCTGCTTTGGGTCCCCCACTCTGGACTAGTCTGGTGTAGATAACCTTTGTCCTACCCTTTGTGAAAACAAAACAAAGCAAAACCTACCCTTCTGTTGTTTAAAAAAGAACCTCTCAATTTTCACTCGGTTTTGTGTCGTGTAGACTAGGTCTCAGCTAGAGGCTTTCCACTGACACGTACATCCTCTTGCTCCCATTTTGACACCTATAAATTGAAGTTGTTATTACAGATCTCACATTTTAACTCTGATAAGTTAATCAACCAACAAACATTTATGAAGCACCTACTACGTTCCAGGCACTGTGCTAAGCTTTGGCATTACCAAAAAAAAAAAAAAGCAAAAACCAGTCCCTATCTTCAAGAAGCTCACGTCCCAGTGGGAGAGGGGGGCAACAGGTAAATAAATAGGCTCATACTAGATCTATACAGAATTGATGGAACAGAGAGGATGGTTCTAGCAGTGGAGTATGCCAGTGTAGCTGGATCATTGAGGGTGTGGGAGAGAGTAAAGGATAAGAGTTTCAGAGAAATAAGAAGGGGCCAGGTTGTGAAAAGCTTAATGAATGAGGTGGTTCTGGAAAGGCTCTTGGAGCTCCTTGGAAAGAGGTACTGTGTAAGGATGGAGAGATTATTCTAAACCATCGCCATTATGCTTAGGGGAATGTTGATAATCAGAAACAGGATTTGGGCTTTGCAGAACATAATTTTGGAGCTTGGCAATGTTGCTTTATGCTTCGAGAATTCTATGAAGCCTGCTGATATAGTCCCTTGTAAAATCTGGAAGCCAACATTTTCAGGCCATTTTCCCTTAATTAAAAAAAATAAACATCTCAATATTAAAAAAAAAGGAAGCCTCCACCCCCATTCCCCATCAGTTCTGCTGGAATGCCAACAGTCTGTAGTGTGTGACTAAGTAGGCCGAATACAATTGCCATCTCGGTTGATTGGGTCCAGAGAGAGAGAGAGACAGAGAGACAGACAGAGACAGAAACAGAGACAGACAGAGAGACAGAGACAGAGAGAAATAGAGAAAGAGAGGGAGAGAGAGAGGAAAAACAGAATGAAACAGGAGGAGAGAGAGAGAAAGAGAGAGAGGAGAGAGAGAAATGGGGGAGAGAGAGAGAGAGAGAGAGAGAGAGAGAGAGAGAGAGAGAGAGAGAGAGAGAGAGAGAGAGAGACAGAGAAAGTGCATGTTTGTACTTCAAGCTGTGTAATGGAAAAAAATACAGAGTAGGAGTCAGAGGCCCATCTGACTGAAGCCCATTAAATAAAATTAATTCCATTAAACCTTCTAGCCCTAAAGGGGTAGTTCTTTTTGGAGTCATTGTTGGTTAGGTTTTAATCACAGGGTGGTAGAATGCATAGGGTTAAAATGGAAAGGATATTCCAGCAGGGAATAGAAGAGCTGGCAGAGCCCTTTAAATAGGGCAGGGCAGAGCCTTACAACAGAAGATGTCAGGGCTGGGAGGAGCCTTAGAACTGGGAATGTCAGAGCTGGGAGGCGCCTTAGAACAGGGAATATCAGAGCTTGGAGGAACCTTAGAACTGGGAATGTCAGAGCTGGGAGGTGCCTTAGAACAAGGAATATCAGCAGTTGAAAAGGGCCTTGGAAGAGAGAATGTCAGCGCTAGGAGACTCTTTTAACTCTCCTAATCACACCTAATCCAGCCCCCTGTTTTAACCAAGGAAGGGAGCATTTTAGAGAAGGTAAATGACTCGCTTAAGGTAATTCAGTGTATCAGCACAACTGAAGCCTCTGCCTCCTGGTCCTCTGAAATCTTGGAGGCTGGCTCCATGGAAGGGGATCCAGCAGCGGGCTGAAGAGCATCCTGGCCAGATGTAGATGAGGAAAAGTGTGCAGCTTCCATGAGAGATAACTTCTCCTTCAGCCGCCAATGGGGACCTGTTTTTGGCCTTCTAGGTCAGAGTAACCTATCTGCTCTTCCCTCCCCTCAACTCCCCTTCCCCATCCTTAGAACCAGAGGGCCTCAGGGGACATCCAGGGCCCCTGGATGTTGTAGGTAGCTTCAGCAGAGGCTAGGAGCTTATAGGAATAAAGCCCATAAATGTTTGAGGGGCATAGGCAGGGCGACATGGTCCTTCCCCCAAAAAAGTCCCTGTAAGATCTGGTACCTCCCCCTGTCCACATCTGAGAAAAATAATTTTAGAATAACTCAAGTGCTGTTCTACTTTACATAGAGAGTTGGGAGATCTAAGTTCTGATCCTTTCTCTTCATGGAATGGCCTGGGTGGCCCTGAACAAGTCACTGCCCTTTTCTGGGCCTCAGCATCCCCATCTGTAAAATGATGGCATTAGTCTGTTAGAGCTGGAAGGTACCTTAGAGATTCTGATTTTATGTATTAAGGCATGGAATTCCTTCACCTGAGAAGTGGTGGGAAATGACAGTAATTATTCAGCAGCCAGGGCAAGTCTCCAAGTGGAGAAACATTTGAGAGGCCACTGGATATCAGGCACTATGCTAGTTCCTGGTGATAAAAAGGAAAGAAAAAGCAAACAAACAGTCCATGCCCTCAAGGAGCTCATGCAACATTGCAAACAACTATGGACTGATGAAGGAGACACTGACAATAGCTAGAACTTAGGTGGGTTTGCAAAGCTCTTTCCACCCTCCAATCTCTTGTTCCTCACAAGACTGGGAGATAGATGATATTATTATCCCAATTTTGTTATTGTTGTTAAGTCATGCCTGACTCTCTGTGACCCCATTTGAGATTTTCTTGGCAAAGATACTTGAGTGGTTTACCATTTCTTTCTCCAGCTCTTTTTACAGATGAGGAATCTGAGGAAGAGAGGGTTAAATGACTTGCCCAGGGTCACATAGCTAGTAAGTGTCTGAGGCCAGATTTGAACTCAGGACTTCTTGTGCCTGGTAGAAAGCTGAATCAGCCACCTTTGTGTCTGTGAGTAGACACCTCCCCCCTCCCCAACTCACTGATGGGTTTGAGGCCCTTTGGCTACCCTCAACCTGGGTTAACCTGTAGGCTGAGAAGGTTTTACCGGGTGTGGCTGCTGTGCATACTACACCTTCTTGGTGCCATAGATGAGAGTTGTGTGAAGATGGACACCAAAAGTGGATGAGCATTCCTGAAAAGGGCTCAGCAACCCTCATACCAGAGGTGCTAGCCCTCCCTGAACACCCAAGTATGGGAAGACTTCCTCTGGTGTGTAAGAACAATTTCTTCCAATGGCCTTGAAGGCAGCTGAAGTGGGTGCCATGGAGCACTTAACAGCTTGGTCAGATATGGAAGATGCCAAGGTAATCCATTGCATCCTAGGCCGTCACCAGTCACCTTCACCTTTGTCTTGCCAATGGACTTCAATGACTCTGGAAGAGAAAGTGAGGCTGACTTTGTACAACTTTGCCTCACTTAAATCCAGTTGGCCCATGAGTCGAGACATTGCCCCAAAGGACAAATAACGTGTCCTACACTCCTCTCCACAATACATTATGCACATAGCGTTCAGTTGGGAAGAAGGAGGAGGATCTAGGCTGTAAGGCTGGAACTGTCTGAGTCATTTTAATTTTTTTCATATTTTCAATATTTACATTTTATATCTATAGCAATTATATACAATATATTTATATTTTCTAGACCAAAGAGCAAAATCTATTTTTAAAGTGAACCCAATATTTTTAAACACCTGTGTTTTCCAGTAAAGAGTACCCAGTGGTTCCCAGGAGTACGGTGAGACAGAAGGTCACTGCCAACCATAGCCCCTTCAGTGGGGAGGCCAGAGTTCTCTCAGCCTCTTCCAACTTGGGGTCCCAATACCAGTGTGAGAATGGCGTCTCCAGTACCTCCCAGGACCTGCTACCCCCTCCTAACCCATACCCGCTGTCCCAGGAGCATGGCCAGATTTATCACTGCACCAAGAGAAAAGGTAAGCCTTCTCTCCCTATTCTCCTTCCTCCCCATCGCCTTGCCCCTGTCTTCTCTGCCTTCCTGCTTCCAGCTTATCCCATGATGCTCCATACCCCTTCCTAGTTCAGTGTTTCTTTCCTCATCCACATTGGAGTGTTTGGGATAGATTTTTGAGTTACCCAGACAGCAAAGAGGTTAGATGAGGTTTTTGGCAATCAACAAGCATTTATTAAACACCTGCTGTGTGCCAGCACTGTACTGAGGATAGTAAAGAAAAAAAAAAGAAATGAATATAAAGGCATCTGGTTACTAAAGTGCTATCTGGAAAACTGATTTTAGAGAGGTCATTGAATCTATTTTCCAAGGGAGGAAACTGAGGCCCAGGGGAATTATCTGAGATCAGAGAATAGCTGAGCTAGAACCTAGCTAGAACCCCCATCCTGTGCCTCTTCTCCTATTCCAGGGCTCTTCCCGTTATGCTACATTGTCTATGAAAAGCTGCTACAGTTTTGTGGGGACTGAAACTCATTTAGATGACATGGCTGTTTTGTGTGGTATGGCATTCTGGACTTGGTCTCAGGAGCCCTAGTAACACCTCTAACATTTATTAGCTGTGTAACCATGGGCATATCATTTACCCTCTCTGAGGTTCCCTAGCCACATTTTTAATAACACCTATAGGATTGCAGGTTTGTCTTGCGTGTCAGATGAGATAATAGGACTTTTCAAACCTTGCCGTACTACATAAATGCTAGCTTGTTCTTAATATTATTATGAGTCATGGGGATATCAGATTTCACCCAGGAAGTCAGGCCCAGGAATAAAGAGCTGGTGTATAGGTTCTCTCCCATAAAGCTTCTCCAGGCTGGTAGAGTGGGCTGGATTGGAGTCAAGAGAATCTGGGTTCAAATCCTCCTTCAGACTCTTCCTGTCTGGGTGACCATGGGAAAATCACTTAAGCCATCACCAATCAGCATTTATTAAGTGCCCACCATATGGGCAGTTACAAAGATAGAAGGCAAAGCTCTTAAGAGGTAGCTCTAGTTGGAAGACCTGGGCCGGATAAATGATATCCGATCAGGGGTGTGCTGGAGCCAGCTCAAGGTGACTCCAGAGAGTCAATTGTTAAATTTTCAGCTCAACATTTATGTCACGGAATCAGGCAAATGCTACATATGAGGGCTTGATTTATTGTTTTCTTGATTGTCTAGACTTGAAGGAAGTGATGGAGAAAACATTAAGAACGGAGATTCACTTTAAAGTGTATCATGCATGGTTTTTTTTCTCCCTGGAGATCTGGTTGTTAAACATTTACCAGCACACTCCTGCTTCCAATCCAATTGAACACGATATTAGCAATTGTCTAGTGTGTATTCAGTGCTGGGAATAGAAATGCAGCCTAATAAATGATCCCTGTCCTCAAGTAGCTTACATTCTAGTAGCAGATAGTAGGTAATGCTGGTCAGGCATTCAGTCATGCCCAACTCTTTGTGACCCCACGAATCATACTATCCAGTGTCTGGAGTGGTTTGGCATTTCCTTCTCTAACAGACTAAGGCAAACGGAGCTTAAGTGACTTGTGTGGGGTCACACAGGGTCACACCACTGAGTGTCTGAGGCTGGATTTGAACCCTGGTCTTCCTGACTCCAGGACCAGTGTTCCACCCATTGAGCATCAAGCTGCCTATATTAGGTAACAGAGATAGAAATAGAACTCAGGTCCCCTGACTGCAGATCCAGGGTATGCTCCGCTCTTACTTGCCTTCACTATCTCTATAGTCAAAGTGAGGCATTTCCCCATCCATGTGAGAAGCACACACTGCCTCCCAAATCCCTGCTGGTTGTTTTCGTGTTTTGGTTTTTTTTTTTTGCCCGACTTCTTAACAAGTGACTTTAGTTTTTAAAGTGTGATCATGTGATCTTCCTCTTAGAATCCGGATTCTAGAGAAATCCATGTGTTTCTTGCACCCTCCACCCTCACCTTGGAAAGCCAGGTTTGTCTGCAGTTTGTTCTGGGTCTGGGCTCCCCTCAGATCAAGGCCTTGTTCCCAGAGTTTCCCAGTTTACCTGATGCTCATTTCAAAGATCCAAGCTTCAAAAGCCTGAACGATATCACTTAAAAGGGCTCTCTGGCAAAGTTCCCAGCATATCTACTCCTGACACATGTACACAAACATTTCTGAATCTCCTTTTTGAGCGACTGGTGGGGTTGCTCTACAGAGCCGAGCTGGAAGGGCTTTCTCCCAGCAGATGAGCCCGATAAAAGGGTCCTTCCAAGACAGCAGCAGAGGACCCATTTTAAGTGCGCCATCTTTTATGTCCTCTGCTTAGTGGCCATGGAGCCCTCCTTTTGGAGTTCCAGACCCTATTTGGCCCATCCAGACTCGGGACTGGAGATAGGGCTCTCTGGGGGCCCCAACAAAGACTCACAAGGTTTGAATTATAAAACACTGTCGATTAAATTAATACCAGACCCAAAGGCGGGGGAGGAAGAATTTAAAAAAGAAATCCATGCTCTTTATAGATTAAATATTTACAGTAACATGCATGTAAATAAATTTTTCCAAATGCATTTGGAAATCTTGGAATACCTAATGGTGAATGCAAACTTAATGTTATGAAGTTACTGTCCTTATTAAGCTAGGACAGATTTTTCCAAGATTCAGTTTAAAAGCCCCTATTAAAAGGATCACAGACCTTGAGCTGGAGCATACCTTTGAGGTTCTCTCAGCAAAAGCCTCTCATTTTTATCCAAAGGAATCTGAGGGTCAGAGAGTCTAAGTGATTTGCTCAGAGTCATGCAACTAATTAATTAGAGGCTGAACTGGGAATGAAATTCAGTTCCTGTGACCTCAAATCTCAAGGTCTTTCTACTGTATCATGATTTTGGCTAGTGAAAAGAGAGGCAGGTAGGAGAAAGATTGTTAGGTTTACAGAGTCAACTCAGACTGGCTCGAGAGAGCCGATTGTTAAATTTCACTATAAGCATTTATACTTTGGAAATTGGCAAGTGTTACAACTCAGAGTCTTGGAACCAACTCAGACTGGCTTGAGAGAGCCAGCTGTATAAATTTCTAATCGGAGTCTTGGCCTCCTCTTCTTACTACCTGTGTGGCTTTCGGTAAGTTATTTAACCTCTTTGCCTCAGCTTCCTCACCTGTAAAAGGAGGAAATTGGATTGATAACCTCTGAAGTCCTTTTCAGCTCTAAAACTATGACCCTGTGATCTTGGGCAAGGCGCTTTGCCTTTCTGTTCCTCTGTTTCCTCATCTGTAAAAGCAAGGGACCCAATGATTCCTTCCCATTTTGTATCTAAGATTCTGTGATAGAGGTGAGAGGGCAAAGGCTGGCTGATGGAGGCCACTGCCATAGTGGCTGGACAGCCCCATGGCAGTGCATCTCAGACTCCACGCCTGTGCAACTGCCTTAACCTTTACAGAAATCTCTGCCTTTCTCACCCTGCTGGCTTGCCTGTCCCAGAGAAGTGACAGGCAGCATTCCAACCCATCTCCAACTCTTCTGCATCCAGACAACTGCAGACCATTCATCACGGCCCTCCGCATTGTAAGGTGATAAGGAATCGGCAGAAATTTCCTTCCAGTTTGGAACCCCCGTTAAGTGATGTCTCCCTGGGTGGTTTCCCCTCTCCTCCCCCCCCATCTCCATTATCTCATTTCCCCTCATTGTTGCTGAGGAGACAACTATCTCTTTGCCAGTGAGCTCCTGAGCTGGGGCCCCTGTGATGGGAAAGGGCCAGACCTGGCCAGAGGGGTGGATGGAGCCCTTGTGTTTGGACTCTACTGTCTCCTGCCTATCTGTCTCCCAGTGGATTGAGTCAGCCGGGGAAAAGTCTTTTATCAATGTCATGAAGCAAGGAGGCAGGGCCAGGGCCGGGGAGAGACCCCCACTGGGCTCCTCTACTGGCCACTGGGAGTTCGAGCCGCTCTGTCCTTGTTTTGATTTCTCCCCCCACCTAAGGAATCAAACAATGGCAGCCAGCAGGCAGGATTTCACTGAAAGCATCGGAGTGCACAGTGAGGAGCCTGCCACTGATTTTGCTTTTAAAAGGAGAACCAGGGATGAGGTAGGGTGAAGGGGCTGGAATTCAATCTTCCATTTGTCTGTTGCCTCTCAGCATGGTGATACATTGGATAGACCTGGATTCCAATCTTGCCACAGATACTTACTAGCTGTGTGATGTAATAAAGTCACTTAACCTCTGTCAGACTCAGTTTCCTCAGCTGTAAAATGAAAGTATGGGACTTGATGGCCCTAAATCTATAATCCTATGGTACCATGACTTGGAGTCAAGGAGAATTGGGTTTCAATCTCAAGTGAAGCAACTTCTCTGAGCCTGAAAGCCTGAAAGACAATAACATCTATCTCAGAGGACCCCCCAAAACAGTAATGTATGTAAAGTGTTCTCTAAACCTTAAAGCATTAGGAACATGCCAATTATTATTTTTTTTAATTTCATCGATGTCTATTTTTATATCCTAGAATCCTTTACTTCCCAGTATCCTTTCCATTGCATCACTGCAGCCCTGCATCCAAAATGAAACCACTTGCCTAGGACTGCAGTTTACTAACTGTGTGATTTTGGGTTGATCTGTGAGTCTCAGTTTCTATCTCTGTAAAATTCAGATGATAATATCTATGGCACCTGCCTCCCAGGGTTGTCAAGGCTATAATAATAATAACAGCAACAGCAGCAACTAACATGTATATAGCACCTACTATGTGCCAGGCAGGTGCTAAGCACTTAATAATCATGATCTCATTTGATTCTCACAATCCCTAGAGGTGGGTGCTATTATTATACACAGTTGACAGATGAGGAAACTAAGGCAAATGGAGGTTGAGTGACTTACCCAGGGTCATACAACTAGGAAGTATCTGAGGCTCGATTTGAACTCAAGTCTTCACACTCTACACCTGATGCTCTACTTATTGCCCTACCTAGCTGCTGACATAGAGCTTAATGGGCTGTGTGACCCTGGGTGAGTTATTTAACCTTTC